CGCGAGCCAGGGGGTGAGGCTGAGGAGCCTGACGCCGAGGGAGGCCCGGAAAGAAAAGACAAGAAATCGGGCCTTCTCGGCAGTGGCTCCTCACCTCTGGAATAACCTACCCCCTGATATTCGTGCGGCTCCCTCGCTGGGTATTTTTAAAAATCAACTAAAAACACTGATGTTTCGGCAGGCCAATCATTAATTTCCGATTTCCCCTCTCTTTCCTCTTCCTAGTCTCTCTCCCATCTTGCCCAAAGATTTTTCCTTTATATAAACTGTTTTTAATTATATTGTTATATTTTGTTGTAAGTCGCCTAGAGTGGTCTTAATCGACTAGATAGGCGGGATATAAATAAAATTTTAAAAAATAATGGGGCTGGAGGTAACAAGTGCTTCTTCTTGACCAGGCTGGAAGCGAGCAGCGGGGACGGAGCCAGTGCCGGGAGCCGGAGCCCGGTTGGGAGGCCATTTGAATTTCCCTTTCCCCCTGCCTTTTTTGTTCGTAAGGAGGCCTCCCGGCAGTGGAAGTGGAAGCCCAGGAGGCTGAGGAGGCTTCAGACTGCTTCAGGTGCTGCTTTTTCCTTTTTAAAGTTCTGGGTGTTTTAAAAAACTGTTCTGGGGCTTGGACTGGGGGGTATGTTTCTGTACTGTGTTGTTTTCTTTTTGGATTTGTGGTTTGCTTGTTTGTTTGTTTTTTGCAGTCTCAGTGTGGGACTTGCTCTGTTTATTTTTATTTTTATTTTGGTGTTTTTTTTAATGCTGGCACCGATTAATCCCATTCCCATGCATTTCAATGGAAAATGCTGATTTTACTTATGAACGTTTTGACTTATGAACAGCATTCCATTATGGACTAAGTTCGTAAGTCAAGGCACCACTATATGGCAACCACAAAACAAAAATCATTAAAAACAAGCACTTTTACTTTATAATGGGACACATAGTCTCCACAAGCCTTGTTTTCAAGGAAGTAGAAGTGTTTACTCCTTGGGGTGGGAGGCGGTCAATGAAGCTACTCAATTTCAGCAGTGCAGCAAAGGAATATGTGTGAGTTGTATATTACATATACCTGCAGCCCCAGAGAATGAAAGGGCATGAGCTTCACCTCCATCTTCTGTTCCAAGGTAAACAGGAGTGGAGCACAGACACCAAATTCTCCTTGAAGTTCCACAGAATACCATTATTCTGCTTGGGAACTAGAACATTCAGAATTTACCTTCATCCCATCTTCTCTCACAGTAGTGAAACAGGTGAGAGAATAAGTATCCAGTTATTTGAACTTTTTCTTTAAAAATGAATTTATAAAGTATTTTTAAAGAAAGAAACAAAACAGTTCCAAGAGACATTCTTCCTTCTTCACCACATATTCAGAACTATGTAAGACACTGGAGGATTTCTTTAAATCCTCAATTCCTAAGGATGCTAGACTTCTTAATCTCTCATTAGTCCTTCATTTCCTGCATAATGCAGAAGCCTGTGAATACACTTGGATGTCCTGCTGATCAGCAATATTGCAAGGGTACCACAGTATTGCCAACGGTATCACATGCAGAGTCTAACAGCCATTCTTACACTAATCTGATCTTCTCAAACAACGGATACAGTGGAACTGCTCTTCAAATCCTTTCTGAACGAATTGCTTGTAGAAGTCAACCAAGCACAAAATGGAGAGAACACAAAGGGGAAGGGAGTAGTACATCACAGTAACTGTAATGGTAGGGGACATACCAACAACTCCTACCACATTATGTCTACATCTAAGTTGAAAGGAAACTGAAGAATGATGGTTAGCAAGAAAAGAATGATGGTTAGCAAAGAAATAATTATCGTTTATTTCAGTTTAATTAGTGAATAGCAAGAAAAATTTTTCCATGGATCATGAAGCTAAAAGTCTACAGAAGAACTAAAGGGTATGTCTCAATCTACAAGGAAAGCTGAGAGCAGAATTTGCTCTTTGTTGTTTACACTCACCACAACCAGAAAGACATCCTGACAGAAATGTCAACAGACAACACTCCTCCTACAGTTACCAGGAAGAAAATAATTCACATTTAGATGGTAACTCAGGGCTGATAATAGCCCTCAAGTTGGACACAGTTAAAGAACATTTTCTGTTGGAAAGTGTTTCTAAATCACTGTTCCATTCAAAACCAGTAGATCCTCATTTAATTACTTACCAAGGAACATTGTAAATTTATCCAGTTATATGGCCTAACTTCTCATCCACTCCAATCCAATATTTCCTCTCATGTTTTAGTTTCTGCTTTAAATTAACACATTTAAAATAATCAAAAGGCTCAGGAGGAATGTTCTCCTGTGCCAATTATCTTTCTTAAAAAAAATTGCTTACTTTAGAAAATGAGACTTTTAATGGAATCAACTTGTTTCTTAAAACTAATTATAAAAATAAGACTTCTGGGATGAATTATTGAATCCAAAAAGTGTCTTGATCTTAAAAAGAAATATTTACATTTTTTTTCATTCATTCTCTGCATTATGAAAAATACAGCGTTTCAAACCTGTCACTAAAATAGCATTCTTATTAAGATCACACTTTATTGCAAGGACAAACATTCCTATTCAGGGGTGGTGGCGGAGGAGAGTAATGTTTTAAACAAATATTTACATCTGAAAATCCTGTTTATAACAGATTTTGTTGTGAATTTTAATGAATTACTCTCCATAGTTTTCAGCTGCCTATTCACATATATTAAAAGATAAATAATTCTTCCTCATGTGTTGCTAAAACAATCAAAACAAAACCTCAGAGATTAAAATAAGTGCAACAATGCAACTGTATTTGATAAATGTTTCTTAGCCTTTAAAATGCAAACCTTTTAGTGACAGGATAAGGAAAGAGGTTAAACCCATTCAAGGTTGATTGTAGAATCTCCTCCCCACACTCACAATCAATATTTGACAGTGAACAAATGCTGTCTATTTTTTTTAAAAAAATCAACAACTTGTAGATGCATTATATGAAAGAAAAATTTCATGTAAAATAGATTTTAGAAACACCTGTATGGGAAACACTAACAGAATATTGTTTTTATTTTTAAGATATATCGTAAGAAAATATAAGACGTTTCACTTCCAGGAAAATGAACATTCACAGCTCTAACTTCATATTCATAGATTCTATATATCTGTATAGATTCTATACAAACCATACATTCATTTACCATTTCATTAATGCATATTTTTCCCACTTGAACATCAAGCAGACATTTGATCCTTCCTTTACACTTTTTATTTGTTCTACCCAAGCCCAAGGAGTTTGACAGAAGCTCTGATTCACAGGTGGAGATTTGCAGAAGCAAGAATGACCCTTATCACTTCATCAGCGGGGAATCCTCCACATTTGATTGTGCAGAGCATTCCCTGACAAGGAAACCTGAGCAGAACCTGCTTATATCGCAGCCTCCCAGAAGGCTGAATGATGCTTATGGCTAGACATGATATTATTAGGTCTAAATACAAAGCTAATTTCTGGAGAAAGTTAGCCAATATAAACCCATTCTTTCAGGATAACTAACCTGGGTTTGGATTCTGTTAAGCCCTCTGAACCAGAGGATTTGTCCTCGCCGAAGTTCTCTCTCCGCATGGTCAATCTCTTCTACGTCTTCATTCATCTCCTCTTCAGGTACCTCCTCTTTTAATGTGAGCCCTCCTGCTTCCTTTAAAAATTTTAACCTACTTGTTGGGATGGTTGCAATGACCTGAAAAGATTTGTTTAGAACTATCATAATGAAGACTATCTGTAGACAGAATATGAAAACCCTGTCTATATTATACAAAGAAAGCAGCAGGTTTAATGAAGACAATGAAGCACAAAGAGAAGAACTTTTCTTGATTCTGGGCAAGCCCTAATACCTGGTTTGCCAAAGGCACTTCAGTGGTCACTTGGGGGAAAAGGATATTAGACCAGAGCTTAGATCTGCTCTGGCAGGTTTATTCTTAACCTTTCCACTCAAAATTAAGCTACACTTCAGTTTCTCTGAAGTCCATCTCCTAATCAATGTTACATGTCCTATCCATATTCTTCAATTGCAGCAAAGATGGGCACAGTATATGCAGCACCTCCAAGGCTCTTTTTGTATACCCCTGCCTTCCTCTGGTACCCCATTTTTATGGCCAAAAAAAAGAGTCAGCCACCATTTCTGCAAGCCCTTACGAATGATGATTTGTCCTTTGAATATGCTGTTGCTTTTCCAGCTGCAAAATGCAACACATACAAAATCACACCTCTGTAAAAAAAACAGAGGTAGACTTCCACCTATCTTACAGGTTCATTCTTTGTGCTTTTTTCAATCCATATAGCCCCAAGATGTCTCCAGAGTAGTAAACTGGCCCCTCAGATCCACCAAACCTGCCCACCCCAAACTGCAGTCACCTGGACTAATGGAATTTCCTTTGAAGAATACAGGCGTTATAAGTGAAAGGATAGTATTTGAGGCCAGATAATGGTCCATTTCAATGAGTAGGGGAAAGGTTCAATACAATTTCAAGTGGCGTGGGATGAAAAAAAACATAAGTGCCTTAGAACGTGCCTTTTAAGGGCAACATTTAGAAACATGTGAAATCCATAGGCCTCTACTTTTGAACTTGGGCCCATTTGCTTTGAAGTGTTATATCTTAATTACCCATGTTTTAATGACAAGCTAGCTTCTGTACTTCCATTGAAATTTATACCCACCACCCTTTTTTGGAAAGGATTTCAGGATGCAGGATGGATATATTAGTCAACAGAGACTACTCTTTCAAATGGATCATTATAGATGTTTCAGAGCTACAAGTTTCATGTACTTTGGGTACCATGATGCTATGTGAAATCTAAAAAGTCTGTTCTTTGAATAGTTGCCTCTGGCACAAAAGCAGCCTAGAATTAATGACATGAATATAAATGAAATTCATATTTATTGGTTGTTATTTAGCAAATCAAATTTCTGCTCAAGCAGGGCTTACTTGTTATTATTATTATTTGCTGCTGGATGGGTCTACAGGGACAATTTGTTCAGGATTTGAACAATACATGAACAGAAGTAATTTAGAGACCTATTGTTACATTTGTAATGTCTATAAAATAAATAGTGCTTACCTGACCCCAGACAAGTTCACCCAATCCAATAAATACACACCACATCCATTGGTCAAGTTCCAAAGGCGAACAGCTAAAAGGTTTTCCACCAAACTGTACAATTACTATCTGCAAACAGTAAGGGGAGAAAAGCTAAAATATGCTAATTCTAATTAAACAGAAATACATATCAGAGCAAAACATGTTCCAATGCTTTTCTTTGCTATCTTTCATTATTTTACTCTATGCCTCTTGCAGGAGAGTAACACATAAAAGATGGAGTGAATCATGATGAGATTAAGTCATCTACATATACTGAATCTCAAACTAGCTATAACAGTTGGGATTAAATGTCATTGAAAGAAATAGTATCAGATAACTGAGCTATGCAGCTTAATAAAAAAATCCTGCTTTTAAGTGGATTTATGGCTAAATTGTGGCTAACATGTACATATGGATAGTTTCATATTTACTCTGAAATTCTGTTTACATATGCTGCATAAGGAACTCCTCAGAATTGGTGCCACATTGTACCCAGCTATTTTATGATTTTTATCTGTTGCTTTTGAATGGGCTGCAATTACTGCATGGACACTAAAACAATAAACATAATAAATAATTATGTGCTACCAAAGTTATAGTACTTGCTATTCCTAATAGATTCAATTATGGTTGCAGCTCAAAGAGTTAGACTCTAAATTCTATGCCAGATGGACAAGATATCAATTCAAGAAGTGAAGTGAGGATGGACTAAAAACAGATTGAGAGGTTGCCAGCAAGTTGAGAGCGATTCAAGAAATCTATTTTCCTGAAGAAACAGATTTAGAGGAACGTGTTGAAGTGATTGAAGAATATAGTGGTTATTCCTGACATAGGGAACAGCATGGTAAGAGGATGTGGGAAAGGAATGTAAAAAGGGTCAATGACTTTACATTTAAGAACCAACTTGTGAGAAAGGAGAGAAGGAAAAGCACTAACTAGGTCAATTCAGAGAATTGATAAAAGACAAAGGGGAAATGATAGAAGAGATACTTTCAGGACCAAGTTGCTGGAGGGATGCTTAATTTCTAAAGACCTTTGCAATGAGACCTGTCTCATTTTCAACATGGGGTAAGAAGGAGTGGGGATGAGATATTGAGAGAAAAAGATGAATAACACAAAAGGAAAGAGTTCCTTCAGCCCTCGAAAATTAGGAAAATATACACTATTATGTGGCCTTCATGTTGAAAAGTTTGGAGATTCGTCATCTAAGGAATAGAACAGAGATTTAAACCCTGTTGTTTAATGTAACAAGTCACAACTAGAGTAGACCAACTGAATCAGAGTGCAGCTGGTGAGTCAACTCTTCCACAAGTTCCACAGATTCACTAGGGCTACTCTAATTACAAATTAATGTGTTAAGCAACAGGATCTGAGCCTGAGTAATCCAAGTGAGTGGATAGTGTGAAGTGTGATCTCCTAGGTTTGGGCCATGAGAAGCTTCCCGGTGTTTCTACCATTTTCCCTAATGTACTTGACCCCATGTTTTTTTCTAACCCGAGTAGCAGCAGCAAATTTGTCACCAACCGCCATCTAAGTTGCCCAACCCTATTGTACAGAATAAGAAACCGAGCAAGATGATCTTTACTTTCTCAATAGCATAGAAGAAAACCATACACATGCTAAATGTCAATCACTTCTGAAGAAGTGAACTATAACAGCAGCAGTTTCTCAATAGCATAGAAGAAAACCATACAACATGCTAAATGTCAATCACTTCTGAAGGAGTGAACTATAACAGCACCAGGACCAGCATAACTTTAAGAACCCTACATTAATTGTGACAGATTTGTTAGATTTAATCACTATTTTCTGTAATATTATTGATTGCTTGTTAGTTTTTATTTAGAAAAACATGCTAACATTAAACAAACCCTATCCATGGCATCATTTTTCCATCCTCAGAGTCTGTCTAAACAGTTCAGCTTCTTGAAGCAAGACTTTTATCTTCTTCGCATACTGATGTTAAGGCAGAAACAACTCTACTGAATTAGCCTCTCATTTAATCTAAGGTAGGTTGTTGCAGAAATATTGGTTTTCCTATCTCAAGAGAGCAGAGCATCCAAGATTGGCTGTGAAATGGGATGTATGAGATCTCTATAAAAGATTTGCTGAAAAACATTTTCTTTACTGAATAAAGTCTGTCATCACAAGATTTATCACATACCAAGCTTACTTATTAATATACTTTTTTACTGTGCTATGGAAAAAAATAACTAGACATGTCTCACAGCTGTGAGAACAGTGACAAGAATTTCAAAAGGAATACTATATTCCAGTATTTTTGTTTCTTCTCATCGTCATTCACCTAATGCAACTCTTGGGTTTTAGAAGAGTAAAGTGAAACTGTCTCCGTAAGACAAAGACATGAAAAAAGAGCCATATGAAAAGAAGCCCCAGAAGAGAAGGCAACATATTGGAGGGAAAAAATAAGGATCAAGTTGAGATAATTGGAGTGGATGGGGGAACCAATAAAAGAATTAAAATCAATCACCTGTCTTAATGGTGGATAAATGCAATATTTATTTATCATTAACACCACAACACCTTTGCTTATTCAAAAGATTGGGAACGAGGAGATGGAAGAAACATTACAGTTGAACATGCAAGCAGTATTTTTTTGTATTACCACTATATAATAATTACCTGAACAGCAAATGTGCCCAGTACGATAGTGCAAAATATAGGGTTTCTAAAGATGCCATCAAAAACATTCCTTTCACCATGAATTTTGCGTGCGTTGATTTCATTGAACAGCTGCATCATGACAAATGTATTGAAGATGATGGTATAGTGCTCAGAAGGTGGAGAGTGGAGCGGTGCATTCCTGCCACTGTCAATCTTGAACATCTTTTCACCTGATTACAAGGAGGAAACAGAAGACCAATAACAGTTAAAAACAAGCAGCACAACAAATCAGGGTTCAGTTCATCGAACCTCTAGAAACATAATTGATTTCCAGATCACAATCACATCACCAAATCAGCAAGATTACTTCTTATTATGATAGTTATGATGATGATAATCTGCACCACAGCAGCAGCAACAAAAGCAACCATAAATGCCAAATGGTGAAGTCCAGGATCTACAAGCTATAAAGGCCATTTCTTTGACACCCAGGGCCAATGAAACATTCTAAATGCAATGGATGATTGAAATAGCTCTGTCAAAAGGGATAGTCCAGATTTTGTAAGTACTAGGGACTCATTATGGAGCAAGTGACGCTTGAAAATGTATGACAGGTTCCACCTAAGCTGTTATACAAGCAGACTGCTAGTTATTAATATTTCAAGGGCTACAGATTTATTCATTGATTTTATATTTTAAAAATGGGACTTCTGTTCTCTCCCATTCTATTAAAAGGAAATAGAAAGGGAGAGGGAAAAAATATTTAATTGTTATTTAAATCCATAAAAAAGTGCTCCACATAGTGAAATCTTAAAACCTGGGGATGTGGAATAAATTTGCAGAAGATTTAGGCTAAAGAAAAGGGAGCATTTTTTCATACAACACACACTTTATGGAATGCACTGCAACAAGATGGGTTTATGACTATGAGCTTAGGGATCATCCCAGCTCTCGAAATATAAATGTAAGAGTAGCTATTTGCCACGGCATTACCACATCTCTGTCTCTCTGAGGTAGTATGCCTCTGATGTCTAGCTAGCAGGAGGCATGCCAGAAACAACAGTGTGCCTTCAAACCCTTCTTGTCCGAACAACAGCTACAGATGGTTGTGTGGAGTATCTCTCAGATCCTGCATTAAGCTGGGAGGGAGGATAGATCACCTGCAGGAATCCTTATGATCCTGAGTCCCTGAGCTTATTAGAGTAAGAATGTGGACACAGCCAACATAAATGCATCCTCTGCTAAATATCTCCCACTGTTTCTGTCACATTTTCAGCTCAAGATAGCATCAGTATGGTAAAGGCAGATGCTGCTGTTTAGTCCATGTTCAGGAGTTTCCCAGAAAAGAAGAAGAAGAAAGTTTAAGGAAACATAATACAGTTTAGCCAGCATTACAAGTCAGTTTAGGGTGATGTGAGCGTTGCTGCCTTCACCTCTAGGGGAATGAGTGGCCTAGGAGTCTCCTGCCAATAATTCCATTGCCTCCATTATATAAGGTGCTTTTGAACTGTGACCTTCGGTCTAGATGGGCGGGGTATAAATCTAATAAAATAAATAAATAAATGTTCACACTGGGTCCCTGTCCCCACCCTCCAGAACCCCAAGGGACCCAGTTCCTGGTACTTGTCCCTTGGCAGTAGTCTGCTCAGTACCTTCCTCAGTTTCTGTGACAGAGGCCAGTGAAGACTTGCACCCCTACCTGTATGGGAAATGCCTAGTAACAGTGATTTGTGCATTGGTAATCTCAAAAATAGGCTACTGTAATGTTCTCTGTGTAGGGCTGGCCTTGAAAACAGTATGGAAACTTCAGCAGCTCCAAAATGCAGCAGCCAGACTGTTTCCTGGGATTAGAAAATTTGATATCGCTAGTCTTTGCTCACCTAGATTGGCTTCTTGTCAGTTTTAGTACTCAATTCAAGGTGCTATGACCGATAAAGACCTTAACAGTTTGGGACCTCTATACTAACTGGAACGTCTTTGAATTCAACCACCCATATCACCCGCTCTGCTCGATTTTTGATGTTAAAAGTACCTGACAACAAGGGATCGTCTTTAAATTCAACCACCCATATCACCCGCTCTGCTCAATTTTTGATGTTAAAAGTACCTGAGTGAGGGGTGACAACAAGGGACTGGGCCTTCTCAGTGGTGGCACTCAATCTTTGAAACACGTTTCAATTGGGGTACATGAGTCACCTTCCCTTCTGACATTCAGGAAATTAATGACGTTAGAATTATATCAGTTGCTGTACAGCATTTCAACCACCCATATCACCCGCTCTGCTCAATTTTTGATGTTAAAAGTACCTGAGTGAGGGGTGACAACAAGGGACTGGGCCTTCTCAGTGGTGGCACTCAATCTTTGAAACACGTTTCAATTGGGGTACATGAGTCACCTTCCCTTCTGACATTCAGGAAATTAATGACGTTAGAATTATATCAGTTGCTGTACAGCATACCTTTATGGATAAAGGCCTGGGATCATTCCCTAGAGCAAATTCAATCTATGTTCCTGTGGAAAATCCTGGAAGCACCAACTTTTGTGCCATATGCGGCCCTCTGTTAAGAGACAGGCCAAAATATGGTAGCAACTCAGGCATGACTGAGATCAATCAAACATTGGTTGAAGATCCATTATAATTTCAAAGAGGGCAGTTTTTACACTAAATTTTCTGAGAACCAACCTTCACTAGAGAGCTTGCCTATATTGAAAAGAAAATCTCGCTAATAAGCCAGTCAGTAGAATCACTTGGCCCCCTGCCCCACAAGGAAGCATTTCAGCTGATTAAACACAGGATATTAGATATCAAATTCAAGAATTTCCCTTTGTTGTTTAGTCGTTGAGTCATGTCCGACTTTTTGTGACCCCATGGACCAGAGCATGCCAGGCCCTCCTGTCTTCCACTGCCTCCTGGAGTTGGGTCAAATTCATGTTGGTCACTTCGATGACACTGTCCAACCATCTCATCCCATGTCTTCCATTTCTCCTCTTGCTGTCACAGGTTTAAGGATCTTCTGATGTAATCATTGGGTTAATTATTACAATAAACGTTTTAATTATTATTATCATTAAGTAGATGGGATTGGGTGGAGAGGGTGCCTTGCGGCATAAATAGCAAAACTACACTTGAATCTGAACAAACTTCGATATTGTATCAGAAAGCTGCAATCAAGCTTTACTGAATGTAGTTTATGACTAGGAGTTTTGTGTATGCCAATAAAGGTTTTGATTGATTGATGATTATATAACGCTGCCTTTAATAAGGTATCCCTGGATGCAGCTGATATTCATTTTAATGTTTTTCTTTCCCATGCTTTCTTTTTACATTAATTTTAAATCTAGATCAGTGAACTGCCATATTGATTGTACGTTTTATGATAGCTGTGGGATTCTGAGTTTCATTTGTATACTTCCCAGAGTAGTGCATTCACTAAAATGGTGGCATAAAAATCAAATAAATAAATAAATAGAGAGAGAGAGAGAGAGAGAGGGAGAGGGACAGGGAGAGAGAGAGAGAGAGAGACCAGTCCCAGACCAGGCTTGGAGCCCTGTAAGAGAGTTGGTACAGGCAGCTGGCTGTAAGCAAGGCTTGTCCTCTTCGCTCTTTGTAGTGCTTCCTCCTTCTCTCCCAGTGGCACTTGCATCACCAGCACCTCAGCTGCATCCTGGACTTTCAGAAGCTGCCCACCTGAGCTGTAAGTGCTGAGCAGGAAAAATGGTTAATGGAGCTTACCAACAAAAAGCAGGGTGAAAATGAGCGTGAGCTGGTACACTGCATGGCCCAGAATGTTCTTCATCATAGTACGTGAGATAAGAGGCTTGTTTCTGCCATATGGTTTCCTTAGCAGGAGGGACTCTGTGGGTGGTTCCGTCGCCAAAGCAAGTGAGGCAAAAGTGTCCATAATCAAATTGACCCATAGCATCTGTACAGCTTTTAAAGGAGAGTCCTAAAGAGAGATAATCATGGGGGGGGGGGGGAGAAAAAAATGAATTTCCCCAAACGCTTTTTTATTTTTTTTCCAGGGGGGGGGGGGAAGAAAAAATGTATCTCCACAATAGTCTTATCTATTTATTGTTCGTAATCTTCCCTTGTAGGAATGCCTCACCATTCTAATTTTTGTCATATAGCTCCCTCAAAGCCTTGTGAGGTAAGTTACATTGAAGAAATGATGCAAACAAGACAGGCTTCAATAGTAATCAAATGTCTGAGTCTTGGCGCCCAACACCCAAAACCAATTTCCTTACAGACACAAAGTTTATTGTGCTATTGCAAGAGAATCAAGGATAACCCCATGTTTCAAACATGATGGGCTCACGACCCGAAGCATAAGAAGTGCGATAATAGGAAATCCTAAAATGAGGACAGAATCACAGAGATAGCAAACTTTGAAAGGGCATAAGGAAACAAAATTTTAATTTGGGAGTGAATGGAACGTTGAATGTTAGGGATATTGAAAAGCAAAATTTCTCATTCCAGGTCATGTGGAAGGAAGTAAAATGTGTGGGTTCACACCTTTGTTTTCTCTCCAAAAGCAAAAGGCTGTGAAATTTGCAACCCTAGTTAAGATATTACACTTATTTTCTAATCTTTGTTGGGTACTCATTTTAAATATGGCATAATAATGGGCCACTAGAAGGAGCTATTTGCTCATTGAATCTGGTAAGGATACAGTCACTGTAAAAGTCTGCTTCAAAACAAGACGTTTAAAAAACAAGCTAATTAGTATCTCAAGAGAGAAAGTGAATCACAATTAAATATGTTTTATTAAATTGTGGCTTGGATAATGATCCTTTCCCAGTATCATTCCTCACTAGGAGCTATAATGACTTATGTGGAAACTAGTGTTATGAACTATTGTGAGGCATAAAATAGAATTTTGTTTTAATTAACTGAAGCAGGGAATTTAAGTTTTTTAATGTTATAATCAGAATGGTGCTGCTATATGTGGAAAAATAGCTTGTGGTCATATCCTTTATAAACGCTGGAACATTCAATTGAACTTCCTCTGGTACATATGTACAGGGGAGACAGACATAGATCTACCTGCAGTAATACCATTTACAGGACCCATGATCAAGGTCCTGTTACAATATATAGCTTGCATTTGGGGTGATGTAGAAACAACTCCAGCTCTGGAACTGTTCCCATTAAAGTAGCATCTATTGCAGCCTAATTCTGCTCTCATCTGATGCCAACTACCCCAATTTTCTTCATAGTCAAGAAGCTCAGTAAGAGCAGGCTGATCACCCTTGTGACAACTCACTTTGATTCCCAGAAGTGAAGTTCAAATTACTTGCATTGATCAAGAGGCTCTAGACATCTAGCAGATGTGTAGAGACGTGAGCAATTTGTGTGCTTGTGAAATCTGCTTAACAGCAATGTAGGCCAGAAATTATGAAATTTAGAATACAACAGATTAATTGTTATGGTTTCCTCTAACTCAGGTGCTGAGAGGCAAACACCTAAGAATGAAAGCTAGGATCTGTGAAGAGAGGCGGATTGCCCGAAGATGCTTAGAGGTTGGAATGTGGCCTGTGCAACTCATTCATTGTCAGGCAGGGGCCAAATTCCTTTACTTCTTGAGTAAGCAACTTAACAAGAGTACAGTCTTTCAAAGACATCACGTATGTGCACCTGGAGAGGAGAGAGGTGAAGGAATTTTTATATGCAGTCACCAAAACAGGATTTCCTCAAACAATAAGAAATTATTGCCTGAAGTGTACAACTTGTGCTGTGCTCTCCCTCCTTGCCATCTAAATATGTACCCGTAGCTATTTTTAAGAACCCCGTGTAGTGCTCGTGTCCCCAAGAGAACTCTGGTATATAATGAAAAACAAGTTCCTCTTGGAGCCCTGTAAGAGAGTTGGTACAGGCAGCTGGCTGTAAGCAAGGCTTGTCCTCTTCGCTCTTTGTAGTGCTTCCTCCTTCTCTCCCAGTGGCACTTGCATCACCAGCACCTCAGCTGCATCCTGGACTTTCAGAAGCTGCCCACCTGAGCTGTAAGTGCTGAGCAGGAAAAATGGTTAATGGAGCTTACCAACAAAAAGCAGGGTGAAAATGAGCGTGAGCTGGTACACTGCATGGCCCAGAATGTTCTTCATCATAGTACGTGAGATAAGAGGCTTGTTTCTGCCATATGGTTTCCTTAGCAGGAGGGACTCTGTGGGGGGAAGAAAAAATGTATCTCCACAATAGTCTTATCTATTTATTGTTCGTAATCTTCCCTTGTAGGAGTGCCTCACCATTCTAATTTTTGTCATATAGCTCCCTCAAAGCCTTGTGAGGTAAGTTACATTGAAGAAATGATGCAAACAAGACAGGCTTCAATAGTAATCAAATGTCTGAGTCTTGGCGCCCAACACCCAAAACCAATTTCCTTACAGACACAAAGTTTATTGTGCTATTGCAAGAGAATCAAGGATAACCCCATGTTTCAAACATGATGGGCTCACGACCCGAAGCATAAGAAGTGCGATAATAGGAAATCCTAAAATGAGGACAGAATCACAGAGATAGCAAACTTTGAAAGGGCATAAGGAAACAAAATTTTAATTTGGGAGTGAATGGAACGTTGAATGTTAGGGATATTGAAAAGCAAAATTTCTCATTCCAGGTCATGTGGAAGGAAGTAAAATGTGTGGGTTCACACCTTTGTTTTCTCTCCAAAAGCAAAAGGCTGTGAAATTTGCAACCCTAGTTAAGATATTACACTTATTTTCTAATCTTTGTTGGGTACTCATTTTAAATATGGCATAATAATGGGCCACTAGAAGGAGCTATTTGCTCATTGAATCTGGTAAGGATACAGTCACTGTAAAAGTCTGCTTCAAAACAAGACGTTTAAAAAACAAGCTAATTAGTATCTCAAGAGAGAAAGTGAATCACAATTAAATATGTTTTATTAAATTGTGGCTTGGATAATGATCCTTTCCCAGTATCATTCCTCACTAGGAGCTATAATGACTTATGTGGAAACTAGTGTTATGAACTATTGCGAGGCATAAAATAGAATTTTGTTTTAATTAACTGAAGCAGGGAATTTAAGTTTTTTAATGTTATAATCAGAATGGTGCTGCTATATGTGGAAAAATAGCTTGTGGTCATATCCTTTATAAACGCTGGAACATTCAATTGAACTTCCTCTGGTACATATGTACAGGGGAGACAGACATAGATCTACCTGCAGTAATACCATTTACAGGACCCATGATCAAGGTCCTGTTACAATATATAGCTTGCATTTGGGGTGATGTAGAAACAACTCCAGCTCTGGAACTGTTCCCATTAAAGTAGCATCTATTGCAGCCTAATTCTGCTCTCATCTGATGCCAACTACCCCAATTTTCTTCATAGTCAAGAAGCTCAGTAAGAGCAGGCTGATCATCCTTGTGACAACTCACTTTGATTCCCAGAAGTGAAGTTCAAATTACTTGCATTGATCAAGAGGCTCTAGACATCTAGCAGATGTGTAGAGACGTGAGCAATTTGTGTGCTTGTGAAATCTGCTTAACAGCAATGTAGGCCAGAAATTATGAAATTTAGAATACAACAGATTAATTGTTATGGTTTCCTCTAACTCAGGTGCTGAGAGGCAAACACCTAAGAATGAAAGCTAGGATCTGTGAAGAGAGGCGGATTGCCCGAAGATGCTTAGAGGTTGGAATGTGGCCTGTGCAACTCATTCATTGTCAGGCAGGGGCCAAATTCCTTTACTTCTTGAGTAAGCAACTTAACAAGAGTACAGTCTTTCAAAGACATCACGTATGTGCACCTGGAGAGGAGAGAGGTGAAGGAATTTTTATATGCAGTCACCAAAACAGGATTTCCTCAAACAATAAGAAATTATTGCCTGAAGTGTACAACTTGTGCTGTGCTCTCCCTCCTTGCCATCTAAATATGTACCCGTAGCTATTTTTAAGAACCCCGTGTAGTGCTCGTGTCCCCAAGAGAACTCTGGTATATAATGAAAAACAAGTTCCTCACTTTGCTCCATCCTATGAATTACACAGGTGTAATTGGCAGCCGTCTCTTTTGGCAGCAGTACCTTCACGTTCTTTCACAATGCCAATCACTCCTTGTTGCTAAGGTGCCTCTAATAATTATCTATCATCTACTGCGCTGCACAGTTCAGTCAAGTGTAAAAGCTCATTCTAAGCCCCAGCCTGAGCATTAAACACACATTGGTTTTGGCACTTGGTGGAATGAAATTTCCACTGCAGCTCTTTTTATTTCTTATTAGTTCCTTGGAAGCAAAGGAATGCTTTAGAAAATGTATATGGGTTTAATCTCCTACTAAAGATGTGAGTCTGTTGGCCACACTGCACAACAGCAGAGACATGGGCTTAAAGTGCTTAGTGACAGGCGGTCTGAGAGGGGTTTTTAAATGGATTGTTGTGCTCTGTGGCTTTTAAATGTGTTTTGAGTGTTGCTTTTGTTTACTGATTTTAATAAAATGTTTGTTTAATTCTTTTTTAATATTTGTGTACTTACTGTTTTTAGCTTTTAAACATTGTCTTTTTAATAAAGTAAGCCACCTTGGGTCCTTTTGAGGAGTAAGGCATGTTAAAAATATTTTAAATAAATAAATATGCATAGGCATCCTTCAGTCTCGAGAGACTATGGTAACATGCTCTGAATCGAGGAGTGTCCTCTCCAGAGCATGAAGGCTGGGTAAGGTAATATGGAAGATAGGCTGTTACCCAAGCAGCAGATTCCCCCCTCTCCACATTGCTGAAATGGTCCAATGGAAAGGCAAGAGCCAATACAACTAGTTCCAGCAATGTCGCAGGAGTTGGCAGAACGACACATGCTGCCTTTGGGACTCCAGCTCCGGATTTTGCCTCGAGGGTAACTCCTGAAGCCTTTTCCATGAGTGGATATAGCCACAAGGCAGTGGAGGTTTGAAATCGGAGTTTTCCTTCTCCTAGATGGGCTGCCTTCTATGGCTGACGAGCCCCACCTACCCGGCCTGCTCTTTAATAGTGCAAAAGTATGATCTGATCCTTAAAACTTTCCTGACTACCCGGCTTATGCAAATCTCATTGGATTTCCTATTTACCATATTAAGGCTAGATATAAAGTTTGAGAATTTCAAACCTGGGACACGCTCTTTTAAATCAGGAAGTCCCACCCCTAGGCCCCACCCCCAGGCCATGTGCTCAGGAGACAAAGAGAAAGCCCAGGAAAAAAAAAACACCTCAACAAGGCATCCTTGCAAACAGACCTGGCCTTCGCCCTCAGCCCAGCTTCCTAGGGAAAAGGGTCCAGGGTCCTGGGACACGCTCTTTTAAATCAGGAAGTAAATAAATGTTCAGAGATATCCCTCACCTCCCACTAAACAGTAGGGAAACATTTTAGTTGTTCAGTGAACTTCTTTCTTTGACTTTCAAGGAAATACTTGACACCTCAAGCCACCAAAAAACAATGTTTGATTAACAAGCTCCTAATTTTGGAATATGCTAATAAAGATTTACACAATGGTTCCTTGTTACAAAGGAATCCTAGCATATTCTGTGTGAAAAGTTTCCGTAAGCTTTCTCTTGTAAGAGGCATGTGAATTAAAACAAAAAACAAAACAACAACAACAACAACAACAAAACACCACAGGCATGCCAAAATGTCATTCCAGACACATTTTATATTGAGATTATTATTATAGTTGATTATATATATAATCTGCTCTAATTGAAAGGTGCCAACTGCAGTGGCATCTGATGCCAACTACCCTGTGGCTAAAATACTGTTTTGACACTACAGGTATGTAACAAGTGACTGTGTCGATCCTTTCACAGAGAGTAAAAATATTTTAAATAAATAAATAAATGCTCAGAGATATCCCTCACCTCCCACTAAACAGTAGGGAAACATTTTAGTTGTTCAGTGAACTTCTTTCTTTGACTTTCAAGGAAATACTTGACACCTCAAGCCACCAAAAAACAATGTTTGATTAACAAGCTCCTAATTTTGGAATATGCTAATAAAGATTTACACAATGGTTCCTTGTTACAAAGGAATCCTAGCATATTCTGTGTGAAAAGTTTCCGTAAGCTTTCTCTTGTAAGAGGCATGTGAATTAAAACAAAAAACAAAACAACAACAACAACAACAACAAAACACCACAGGCATGCCAAAATGTCATTCCAGACACATTTTATATTGAGATTATTATTATAGTTGATTATATATATAATCTGCTCTAATTGAAAGGTGCCAACTGCAGTGGCATCTGATGCCAACTACCCTGTGGCTAAAATCCTGTTTTGCCACTACAGGTATGTAACATGGGACTGTGGACATGGCACTGATAAGAACACTAAGGCTGAATTTATTTTCATGAAATGGTTCTGTATGCATCAATTGCAGCTAGTTGCTTTGTGAATTATGCAGTCAAACTGTGCAATTCAGCCTGCCTGGTTGTAACACCTGGCATATTTATGCAATGTCTGGATATTTTTAAATATATATAATTTAAAATATACAACCAGGCAGGCTGAATTGCACAAAAACAAAACATAATTCACAAAGCAACTAGCTGCAATTGATGCATACAAAACCATTTCATGAAAATAAATTAAGCCTTAGTGTTATTATCAGTACCATTTCCACAGTTCCATGTTACATACCTGTAGTGGCAAAACAGGTTTTTAGCCACAGAGTGATTAAGAACAATGTTATAAAATCACAAAATAAAACAGTGGGATTTATGCACATTTATCCGACAATGGAATCCCAACAAGAGAACACAAATACATGGCTACAGAGAACACTGCAGTAAAAGGTTTATAATTCACATATCTCTATGAATTATAATTCAACAGCCTCACAATTTCATTTTATATAGTTTAAATTATGTGGATTGTTCATTTTAGATATTAGTTGAACCAGGATATCAGAACAATTGTATGTTATTCTCAGACATTGCTAGTGGTCTTTGTAGGATGGGTGCCTACTCAGGGTGAAGTGCTTCTGCCCCCCCCCCCGCAACACCAGGCAACTGGATTCTTATGGTTATTCTGCTTGTTGTAGATGTTCCCAGTTTTCATGAAATCACTGAAAGTCATAAAATCATCCAATTTATCTACAAATTATCTGGGTGATTTTCTGCAGTGATGATGCTTTATAAAGATGGGATTTGGGGATATTCTTTCTCCAAGGTGCATCACATTCAGGTATTTGCAAGATGCCTGTAAAGTGTGTAGAACCCACAAAATAAAGAGTTATGGTGTCTGTGGTTCAGAAAATCCAGAAATTCCATCTCTAATGCCTTACAA